AAAAGTACACTTGATTTCAACAAATGGAGTCTGGTGGTTTTCTTTCCTGATTTGTGAATGAAGAAGGGCTGACACCGACACTTGGCAAAACAGTAAGAGATGTGATTGTCCAACAGCCAATTTGTTTCTGTTATTCAGCTCTGCAGGACCTTGTTAGCTGCACAGTGGGTGGCAAAGGACATTATCTTCTTTGAGATTATTTCGTCCCTGGTGTTTTATTTTAGTGTTTGAATTATTATATATTTGGTGTTGTTTAATTGAATATTTCTTTTGTGGATAAACAACATGTATGTGTATATATTTGCATTTTCTTCTCATATATGTCTTCATTGCATATTGTTTTCACTGGGCAGATACCCTCAAAGAGAGGAAGTTCTTCAAATGCCCTGGTTTTAAAGGTGATGATTAGCACTTGAATTCTACCCAGAAATAAATTGGAAGTCAATTCAGCTTACACAACAATGGTATACTACTGGCAAGCTGGGGGGGGGGGTGAATTACCATGCAAAATGCTGTATTCTGGACCAACTGTAATTTCCAGGAGGTCTTCAAAGATGGTGTCATACAGAACACATTGCAATAGTCCAACTTAAGCATGAGTGATCCTAGGCAGGGCATCCCAGTGCACAGAGGAGTGTGATTGATACACAAGCTGTATCTGTGCAAAGGGCCCCTAGCCACAGCTACCAGTGGCTTCTTGAGCAAAAGCCACAAATCCAGGAAGATCCTCAAATTGTACATGAGTTCTACCTGACTACTCCATCAAGAGTCAAAAACAAAAATAATTCAACACAATTGGTTAGAGAAGGCGGCTTTTCACCACCCCCTTCAGCCTGACAGACTCACCCCTTCCCTAAAATAGATATTAGCCCCCTCATACACCCAATCATACATCACTTCCTTGAAGACCTTAATCAGACAGGAAGGGCATGGGTCCAGAACACAGACTACCAAGCTCACAGCTAAATTAATGTGAACATGTGCTGCCAGAATCAGCAGTAGGGTAATTCAGCTTGGTTAATGGCTGATGATTTAAACATGTTTGGCAGGGCTGTCAAACTCAAGGCTTGTGGGCCAGAAGTGTCATGTGCTGGACACGCCCAGTTTAGTGAATAGGGGTAAAGTCCTAATACATCACATGACACCGCTGTGACAATGCAAGTTTGACACCCCTGATGTTTGGGGTATAAATCCTATATGAGGCTATTTTTGCTGCTCTCAATGCACACCATCACATGAGCTAGCTATTCTAATTTCTAGAAGTAGGAATCAGCTGGGGAGGCATGCAAGTGACATTACATGCAGCATGATAATATCAACCACATATTATACCAAATGTCAAGGTGGGGCAGGTCAAGAATCAGACAGTATAAAGTCTACTACTGCTATAAGTTACAATTACAGAATCTTGAAAGCCTATTAGAGTTTTATTCTATTTCCTCTTATACATACAGAATCAAGGCAGAGTTGTCTAGTGGTGTTTTTTATTCCTCATTCCTCATTCCTCCTCCGGCTAAATTGACCTCAATAGTTCTTGCTGTTCTTCAAGGCAATCTCCCAAGCAGCCTGCTTTTTTGGTAATTGTTAATATAAATGGATTTAGCAATTAAAACAGCATAATTTTCATCAAAGACAGAGAAAAGGACAAACAATGATCTAAAGTGAGACCCTTTGGGTAGCCTGAATCTGAGCCCATAATAAACTTGAAATTATACTTTATACTTCATTAAATAAAAGTAGGCTGAGAACCACTTTGATGTAATGGCTTAATGCATTAGTTTAGAAAACAGAACACCATGAATTCTAGTACTGCCTTAGGCATAAAGCTAGATGACCTTAGGCCCTAAAAAGGATGCAATTGCAAGCACGTCTGAAAAAACTTGCCAAGAAAATTGTAAGAACTAATCCAGGCAATATCCAAGAATTGGACATGATTAAACAGAAGAAAAATAAAATAGGCTACAGCGTTATGAATCAATGAAAATTCTAAACTATGGAAAAAGTAGGCAAGGGGAAGGTATAAGAAAGTCAAAAGCTGCCACTTTTATTATTTTGGATCTTCTATCACCCCCACCATATAGACAGTCTTAGCAGATTCCTCTACAAAGTGGGGATGGTTAAAATTTAATTGAGTAACACTTCTAGACATGACTTCCTTCTGGCATAATGCTGGATTCTGGATAATTCTCATCTGCAAATATGATTCTAGTACGACCCCATCCAGAATAGACATATTGGCCATCTATGGGTTTGAAGGGTTAACTCAGTGGTTCCCAAAGTGGGCGGTACCGCCCCGAGGGGCGGTGGGATGACTTAGGGGGGCACTAAGAGGCAAGGGGGCAGAAGGGGGGTGCTAAGAGGCAAGGGGGGCCGCAGGGGGCGCT